TGTCCTTTCCCGGCGGGCCCTGCCGTTTCGTTGATTCAGCTGTCATTGTCGAGCTCCGTGATTAATGCCAACCCTGACGAAATCATCTGCGAACAGATGGAGACGTATCCTGGAGCTGCGGTGCGAGCAATTCGCGTTGTTGTTGTCGTAAAATGTTGAGCTGTTGAGCGCCGAGTCAGCCGCTTGGCCAGGACCCGAATATCACGACAGGCCTGCGGGCGGGATCTACGAACCGGTGCTCAGGACACGTTGTGCCAAAAGTAGTCGCTACAAGGGACCCTCGCTGGCCTCTCCGTTTCCCCTGTGGTCCTTGCATACTTGCCCGTCGCTGGTCCCATTGTCGATTTGCGACTGGGTGCGGGCCGAGCAGCTCCCTGGCTGGTCTCAGTGCCCAACAGGTCTCCTCGGAGTCCAACTCAAACCTGATAATGATATACCTCTCGTGTGCCTCTTGGTACTCCACTCCGCGAATGCGGCTCAGGCTCGCCTCCCAGGCAACCTGCAGCGTCTCGTGATGTAGGGCAAGCGAGCCCTGTAGGATTCGCTCACCCCTCGACATACCTAGGTAGTTTGATCAGGCCCGCAACGGAGCGAGAAATTTCCGTCCGGTAAAGTGCTCTATCAATACCCAAGAGCCGTTTACCGATATATGGAATGTGACTACGCATACATCCACCCGAATGGCCATGGCCCACAGCCCAGACTGCGCCTCTCCGAAGAAGCCACGCCGCAGCCGTTGGTGCGCAAATGGCTGGTTCAGGCGGATGATTTTCATCGAAACCCACAAGGAGCTTCGCAGCGAGATTGGTTTCGTCCGATTTGAGCCCTCTCGAATATCAAAAAGCCGTTGACGTGAAACAGTGTTCCTGATGCTGTGCCCTGCGTGACGCAGCACGGCGACCGGATCTCCGGGCGCAAAAAAAAGGAAGCGGCTATCCTCAACACGCCACGCATCCCACCATCGCATGGCAAAACGCGCTCATGTGCGACCATGCAGAAAAACAACTGTGGCGGCTTCTGGAAAGTCGTCGGGTAAGCCGCAGGTGCGCGCGTGCAGAAGGATTATTGAAGTCTGGCGGCGTTGGCACTAAACAGGGCTGGTGCACCCTTACATTGCGATGAGTGGGGAACACTCGTCCCGGCTCACAGAAATCTCCTCAAGCAATGACGTGCCTCTACAGGGAGCATTGGCTGTCTACCCGAAGAGGCCCCTATCCCTGCTTCGGACCTTAATCTCAATGGCGTGAGATTCGAGGCGCTCACCCAATACGCGGACTATACGCGATCGCCTGTCAGTGTCAACACTACCCGACGTCAATAGACGCCGGCAACTCTATCCCAGCCGACAGCGTGTGCATAGTTTCTAGCTACGGACTGACTTGCAGCTTGTCAGTCCCGATTCGAACAAACTGGTGGTAGCCATAAAGCCAGCAAATAAACCTTGATCGAGTCGATACAAAAAGGGACTGCGTCGCACTGGATACTCGTATGTTAACCTTTGAATCTCGTCGACCACGACGATGCGCACAAAAAGCCACTATCGAGTCAATACGCGCGCTGTCCGAGGAGGGCAGGATGCTCGCCCACTGCCATGTCGCAGGGCCCCCCGATAAACTTTCGCCAATCCGCACCTATGTGGCACAGCAAAGCAATGACAGTCGTCCAACATCGAGCGTTACACAGAACCGACGGGGACGCGGGCTCTGGAGAAGCAAACATGGCCTGACCTTGCGGGTCACAACGGCCTTTCTTCGCACAAATATCGAGATCTGGCCAATTGCTAAATCTAACTCGATTTCTTTTAGTCGCCACGTCGTACAGCTGTCAAATCGGATTGTTTTCACCTCGGTCCGCGAAAAATAATGGATGACACGGAATTTAGTTCACTGACACGTGCCTGAGAAAACTTCATAGTCGATTCATGTCGCTGGGCATAAGGCCCGGGTATTGATTCAATGAACTCAAAACTTCCGCTTTTTGGACGGACGAGCATTCTTTGCTCGGCGATTTTCCTGGACCTTGCGGTTCTTGCGAACAGCATCCACATCTCGAAGTTCGCTCTTGGCGCCACTATCCTTCCATGCACCGACGCGCTTCTCTTTCGCTTCAGCCACCCTCTTTTTCTGGACGTGATAATCATCACGGTACCGATCAGCCTGCTTCGGAGCCTTCTCGGCCTTGTGCTTGTAGCGCGGGGCGTTATTGAAGGATGATGCAGACCTGTTGGGGGCTTCCATTTCGCCCACGCGAGGCATCTTGACCTTGTTCGCCTTGCGCCAGTCGTCGAAGCGACCACTGCGGAAACTGGCCGCGATCTTCTGCCCACTTTCTCCAACAATCATCTTCGCACCCTTAGATCCATCCTCATCGTTGGTGCGGTTCACGTATTTCTTCGACTTTTTGTCCCAACGCATCTTGGATTTGGCAGCATCTGCGAAGCCTTGGATTTCATCGTTGACAAGTGACATCTCCGCCGCCCTTGCTGCAGTGACGAAGTTCGAGTTACCAGCGTCTCCTCCACTGACTCCGTAGGCCTTTTCCTCTGCCATATTCTCCTTGGGAAGGTATGACATGAAATAGTCGTCATTCTTCCAGCTGTCTTGTTTTGACTTCTTAGAAGATGGTTGTGAGACGGACACCTCCAGTCCATCAGAATCTGAGTCGTATACGCCATCAGCGACTTCAACTTCGTCTTCTGATGCTTCTTCATTGCTATTCGATTCCCGTGAAGGTGCCTGAAGTGAGTCGATATCGTCTCCAGCAGCCAGTTTGTTGGCCGCTTGCTTGGCTTTCTGTCGTCCAACTTGTTCACGCCTCTTGCGCATAATCTCGGCTGTCTCGCTCTGGACACCTCGCTTGCCGATTTCAAATACAGTCTCTGCGGGTCGGAATGATTGGATTCTCGCAAGCATATCTTCTTTCGCTTTTTGAGTATTGTGTGCATCGTCGCTGAAGAGCATATGCGTCTCTGCAAAGTTTGGAGATACCACCAACTCCTTAGCTCGTGCTACACTTTGTGCACTTGCCTGGTTGCGTGTCCGTTGGTATTGGCGTTCACCCTTTTCGGCCACACTTAGGAGTAGCGCTAGGTCCTCATCATCGGTGAGCTGTTTGTTCACAAGCTCAACGGAAGACTCCAACTGCCATGGTGCCAGGCTTCCGACAACAAAGTCTTCTGCGTAGTTTGGGTCCTCGGTCGACCTTCCGACCAGCAGTCTTTTTCCGAGGAAAAGCTGCAAGTCTATCAAATAGGGTAGATCGACATGCCTGCATAAACTGTAGGCCCATCCCTTCCGTCCAGCTCGGGCTGTTCGTCCCACTCGGTGTACGAAGATCTTGGGCTGGGAAGGGAAGTCATAGTTGATGACGTGGTTGATATGGGGCATGTCCACACCACGGGCAGCAACGTCGGTCACGACTAGTATACGGGTCAGGCCCATCCGGAAGTCCTGGATCTGCTCTTTGCGAGCTGTTTGGTCAAGGTTGCCGTACACTTTTAAAGTTAGTGATATCACAATGCAACAGCACATGATTACATACCGTAAGATACGGCATATCCTGCACCGCGAAGAAGATTGGCCAGGTACTCAACCCTATGTTTCGTTGCTGCGAAGATGATGGTAGACTCAGCGACCGGGACATCTTTGACGAAGCCGTCGCTGCGCTTCCGCTTTTTGCTGTTGGCAGCTTTTGCAGCATCTTCTTTGGCCTTCTTTGCTGCGTCGGTCTCGCCTACAGGAACCTTGATGACGTTATCGAGGAGATGCAGCAGCGCGCCATCTCGATCACCCGACTTGATTGTGAAGTAAGCACTCTTGAGGTCTGGTGAAATTTTGCTCTCAGCGTCGAGACGGATAAGCTTTGGCTCTTGTAGACCAGCTCTTGCAAACTCCACGAGCGATTTCGGCAATGTGGCACTGAAGAGCAGTGTCTGTCTAGAAGCCGGAAGGGCGTGCAGGATCTCAGATAGTTGCGCTGCGAAACCCATTTCGAAAAGGCGGTCGGCTTCGTCGAATACAATGTACTTGACGGAGGACAGGTCGAGACCCATCTCGACCTTCAGATGCAGGAAGCGACCAGGAGTAGCAATGATGATGTCGGGATTAGTGGTCATAGAGCTGAATTCTGTGCACATGTTAGTCTTGCCGTTGCTGCCAATTAAAGCTACTGTGTTGCACATACGTTCTTCGAGACTGTCACCACCAACAAGCAGGATAGTCCTTAGATCTGTGCCGCGTCCCAACTCTTTGACAACCTTGAGCGTCTGTAATGCGAGTTCTCGGGAGGGGGACATGATGATTCCCCGAGCGCCTACTTTGGCAGAATGCGCCTTGAGCTTCTGGATCATGGGTATGACGAAAGCAGCAGTCTTTCCAGAACCCGTCCTAGCCATACCCACGACGTCTTGTCCGTCCAGCATGAGCGGAACGGCCTTGCGCTGGATGGGAGTCGGTATCTTGAATCCCTTCTGCGTGATGGCTTTGAGAAGCGCCGCATTCAGGCCCATGGCCTGGAAACCTCCGCCCTTCTTCACGGACTTTCCTACATTGGACGCTTTGCGATTCGAAGCGGCCTGTTTCGCGGCAATGAAGGCTTCATCGTCGGATCCGTCGCCGTGTCCAACATCCAGATCTATTCCCAGATCTGCGTCCAAACCCGTCTCTTGCTGCACATCATCGCCGCCAGCGAGGGCATCGAATATGTCGAACTCGGTTTCGGAGAGCGCCGGCGAGCTCGCGCGGGGAGCCATGATGGGTAAGTCGGTGGTGGGACTCGGAGGCGACGTGATGCACTTTACCTGCCTGACGTCTAGAAGTCGCGCCTTCCTCTCTGCCTTTTGGAAAATTTCGGGCACGGTCCTCTCGAAATCTTGGCGGCAGGGATGGAGACGGCGCACCTAGCTGCTAGCTTCCACGTGCCCCGCGATGAGGCAGGCGCGTCCGACGCGTTTTGCCCACACCGAACTTCTGTCATCGCGTAACCCAATCCACGCCCACGAGATGAGTATGCATCCCCAGCTCTGGCCCCTCACATAAACCCACCAGCGCTAACTGCTGCAGGCTACAACGGTTACGAAACTTCGTACACATCCTACGGCGCCGGCGGCGGTGCTGGTGGAGGCGGCTTCATACCAGGAGAGGGCGGCAGTACACAGAGCCCGGGCGGTCGACAAGACCGTGCCCAAGACACCCTGCGCCCCGTCACCATCAAGCAGATACTGGATGCTCAACTTGAAGCCGGCAGCAATGACGCCTTCAAGATCGACGGCACAGTAGTCACCCAGGTATGTGTGCGGTGGTTCTGTGGCCAATCTGCCTCCGCTAACTACTTGGCCAGCTCACATTTGTCGGCCAAATACGCAACATATCCAACCAGACCACCAATACTACATACAGGCTCGATGACGGCACTGGCAGTATAGAAGTCAAGCAATGGGTCGATTCCGATGCCCAAGAACAGACCAACCCCACCAAAGCGAAACTCGTCGAAGGTGCTTACTGCAGAGCATGGGGTAAGCTGAAGAGCTTTAACGACCGAAGATCTGTCGGAGCGACAGTTATCCGACCCGTCGAAGACATGAACGAGGTTTCCTACCACCTACTCGAAGCGACCGCCGTACATCTATACTTCACTCGCGGACCTCCTGGCGGTGCGCAGGGCGGTGCGGCTGCTACCAACGGCGCCGGTGGACAGCAGCAAGCGGCCATGGGTGGCAGCTACGGCGGCTATGATCTCGGTGGCTACAACCAGACAGCGAAGAAGGTGTTCCAGTATCTGAGAGAAGCGCCGCAATCGAACGAGGGTCTGAACCAGCATGAGATTGCCGCGAAACTCGGTATCGACACAGCAGAGGTCGCAAGGGCTGGTGATGATCTGTTGTCAGGTGGTCTCATCTACACGACTGTTGACGACCAGACCTGGGCCATCCTTGAGGCAGATTAAGTCAAATGTCTATGGGCGCGTGGCCTCGAGTGGGGATGAGCAAACAGAACAAGAATAAACTATGCTGGTTTAGCGACATCAGCACGAGCGTAACGATTTATTATGATATTCCATCTACTGCGTCGAAAGTGTTCGAGATTTCTGTTACTTGTCCGCTATCACTTTTCCGCGTTGGTTGAGAGGAACAATATGCACGTCGCAACAATGGCACATGACACCACCGTGAAAACGACCTGCGTCTTCCAGCCCGTCTGCACCAATGCCCGCCGCTGACTATACCGTGAGATCGTATGAATATAATTCGACAATCCTGACAGCATGCATGCCATGGAAAGCAACCAAAAAATGATTCCCAACGGTAGTGCGAAACGCTTTTCTGCGAGAGTTTAGCACAACACTAAGTTACATACAAATTAGCCCGTGACTTACCAAGTGGTGTGGGTTCTGATTTGAGGTGGAACGAGAGGACGATAGCTACAGATACAATGGCCATATACACACTAAGCTTCAGCCAGGACAGAAATGCTGTAAATAACGTTAGCCGTCAGATCTCCTGGCTTGTTCCGAGTCGACATACTTCGTTCATTCGCAGCATGGTCCCTTGCATCCGACGATACATTATCAAACAGCAGTACACCAAACCAAGGTCTCTCCTTAAAGGCCACTCGGTCATAATCATTGTTTCTACACAACAGGTCAGATCAGATTGAGGAAAATCTTAGACCAGGGAGAAGTACTGTTTTACTAAGATGGGTTGGCTTCCGAAGATGTTGTAGAACGGTCGGTATGGTTCGGCTAGTATGGACTCATCTGCATCGCCCATGCGCGACGCGGGCCGGAAATCCATGTTTTCTTCTGGAGCGCAGCAACTTGCTAGTAGTCGCGATGAGGTTGTGCTTTGGTTAGTGTATGAAGATGTGTATAGGCGAATGAGGGTGTTTGGACGGTCAGCCGCACGGGCCCCATCATGAGGTCACTACTCGATTCGGACGCGCCTCCAAGGTTCCAAGGTTTGTTTGAGTTATCATCATCCACGCAATAATCATACATTGTACATCCACGAAAATGAGCAGAGAAAAGGAACTTGTACTTTTTGGCGGTGACAAGTAAGACGCATCGGCAATCCATTGTCTGGTTTAATGCTGACGAATTTACATGCAGAGGCTGGAAAGCTTCGGATTGGACGGATAGTGATGACCGTGTAAGAGGAGGAGCATCTCAGGTAATCTCAACTTCCCAAACGAACTAGTCTCATTGTTAACATACTCGAACAAAGTCGTATCTCACCATTACTGGCTCATCAGCACGTTTCCATGGCAATCTTGACATCACCGCTCTTGGTGGTGCCGGCTTTGCTAGTCAACGCACTACTGGCGAGGACCGCACCTGGGACTTGTCTGCATACGACGGCGTCTATCTCAATATTGGGAAACATGATGGCAAAAAGTACACGCTGACTCTCAAAGACGAGATTCTGCCACTCATGCCAGATGGACGAGAACAATCAACCATCAGCTACGAGTACGACTTTGAATCGCAAAGTAAACTCGGTCTGTTCGTACCGTGGCATGCAATGAAGCCAACGTATCGCGGCAAAGAGAAGGACGATGCGAAGCCATTAGACACGAAGAATGTCAAGCGATTCAGCATCATGATGAGAAGGTAGAAATGTCCCTTACAAAATCGTTCAACCGCAATACTTAATAATGGGCAGTTTCTTCGGCACTCAAGAAGGCGACTTCGATCTCACCATCAACTCGATCAAGGCGGTTGCGCAACCAGACGACATCGAGAAGGGTATCATCGGTAGCGAGAAGGGCACGGGAGTAAGACTTTAACAAATTCAAAGTGCTAGTTGATAGCTAACGCTTATGCCAGGAGCAAGAGCCATGGTCTTGGAAGGATTCTAATCTCGTTGGACTGGCAGTTATCCTGGGTTCGACATGGGCTATCTCATGGGGATATTGTTGGTGGAAAGGATATGATATGGGTATCATGAGGTTTGGAAGATGGTGGTCTGTCGTCAAGAACCCAACGCTCTAGACAGAAAACACGCTGTTTGGTGCTTAAAATATAGTCTTGGCAAGGTGCCGGTTTGGTGTGGACGAAGCTACCATATCCCCGATAAGGGCAATATATTTTGTCCGATGGACATCCTTGTACCAAATCATGCCGCGAGATGTCTTGGATGTGATCTTATCCCTTTGCATATCGTCATCTGGTCTGCGTATAATACGTTATCTTACGCAACACTCCCAAAGTCTAGAGCAAGTCCGAATGCACAATAAATAGGTATCTGCGATTATGAGAGGGCGGAACGTTACAGCCGAAAGGATCCGGTGCCTGGCGGCTGCAGGTGATGCAAGACTCTTGTCCGCCCCGACAACATCAACTTCACATACTGAATGCATTGCACTGGTCGTATGGTCGGAAAATCCCGTACAGTGTTTGGCATCCTTCTTGCTTGTCGGTAATTTGTACAGAGCTAGGGCCTGTGTTCGTCAGCCCACATACTTGGAGGATTGCTTGGCTGTATGTTTCGTGAGATCGTTTTGAGTAAGCGTTCGTAAGCACATTTTGCATGCACAACGACCAAGTACCAAAGAACCGCCCAAATCAACACGTCCTGCCGTCGACGGGAACGTTGAAGCTTGACGTTCATTGGCGCAGTGGGACAAGAGGACGCAAGAAGCCTCCCGCGGACTTGGGATGCTTGACTCGGCTAGGGCGACCCGCACTCAGGGTGAGCTCCTTCATGTATCGCAGCAGTTGTCTCCACATCGCGATGGACGAGAGTCCCATCGACAACGCTGCAACGTTGTATGAAAATCACAATTTAGGTCAATGGATGCAGCCTGATCTCATACCTGCAGTTCCTCCAAATAACAGCTGCTGTTGAGCATTTTCGCCGCTTCAGGCACCACATCTCCAATCACCAATTTCTCCGCTGCCAAGTCGCAGACCATGGCTAGACCTTGCCGATTTCGTCGATGATGGGCAAACCTCCGCTCGCGGAAATTCTTTAGGTACCGTCCAGGACCACAAGGTGGAGAGGCTGAGACGCTACGAGGCTGCATGAACATGGATTTTGATTGCAGCAACTGCAGTAGTGGCGGGCATGGGGAGAAGATGGGCGACGAGTATGGACGCAGCGCATTGCGTATAAAGAGCGACAGGAGTACAGCGCCAAATAGAGTATTCGCTGGTGTTTCAATTCGTCTCTCCAGGGTCCTCGATTTGTTTGTGATAATCCTACCTTGCTCATAATACCGTTTCGCAACCATGCATCTTCCGGCTCTTACCCTGGCTTTGGCTGGCACAGCACTTGCGGCGAAGAACACCACCAGGCCGTATTCGACATGGATGGCCTCTTCCTTTTTGTCCAAGAGCCAGCACATGGACAACCACTATGTCGCTTCGGTCATCCATGAAGGTATCCAGAAAGCCGCCACAACGCAAAACGACTCTTCTCTGCTTGCGTACGCTTCCGAAGCCGTCTCGTCGGTTGTTTCCTCCAACGGCACTATCAAGGGTTGGAACTCCACCTTCTACACACTGGACGACATCCGGGTTGGCAACAACATCCTTTACTTCTGGAACTCGGAGGGCCGTAAAGACGACAAGTACGTTGTTGCGGCTAAGGGTCTCCGTGAGCAGCTGGACCGATGGCCGCGCACCCCCACAGGCGGGTTCTGGCACAGGGCCCCTGTCTATGCGAACCAGATGTGGCTAGATGGTATTTACATGGCCGATACCTTCTATGCGACCTACACATCATACTTCGAGCCCGACAACACGACTGCGTGGAACGATATCGAGTTGCAATTCGATCTGATCGAGGAGCACTGCCGAAACACGACAACCAACCTCTTGTACCATGGCTACAGCGAAGACAAGTCGACTGTGTGGGCTGACCCTGAGACTGGTGCTTCACCATATGTGTGGGACCGTGCTCTGGGATGGTACTTTGTTGCGCTCGTTGAGGTGCTCGAAGTCTTCCCCAAGACACACGCTGGTTACTCCAAGCTCGTTGACTACTTTGTCACTCTGGCCTCTGGTATCAAGGACGTTCAAGATATCAGCGGCGGATGGTGGCTACTTATGGACCCGGAGCTTGCTGGAAAGGAGGGAAACTACATCGAGTCGAGTGCCACGGCCATGTTCACCTACGCATACATGAAGGGTGTCAGGCTGGGTTTGTTGGAGAAGTCGTACCAGGAGACAGCGTCCAAGGCGTGGGATCTGATGTTGGATGACTTCATCCAGTACGAGAAGAACGGCACCCTCAGCTTTACCGGCACGGTTACTGTAGGAAGTTTGAAGGGCGATGCGTCTTACGAGTACTACACTGGTGTTGAGACGCTGGTTAACGATGGTAAGGGTGCTGGTGCGTTCATGTACGCCGCCACCGAAATGGAGAAGGCTGGACTGGAGTAGACCGAGACAGCGGTTTTGGACAATTAATGTATATACTTTGAATCGAATCCCAAGTGGGAAATTTTCATGAAGTTGACTTAGACTTCCGAGTTGAGTAAACATTCATGTCTCCGTCCCGTTACCACGCGCCACGCTATCCTCATCAAGCCGGCGCGCGCCATGTCACTAATCGAGAAATCTGGCGAAGCACACCAACCACGTCACGTAGCAACACAGCCTCTACTCATATACCCAATCGTCGTTGTATCGTATGCCAGTTCCAATGGTGAGATTTCGCCCTGCCGCATTGTCGTGATTCGGCGAGCAGCTGCCGAAAGGTCCGTCATGGTTGCCAAAAATAATCCTTGGAAACGGGTCTCCTGAGCAACCATGTGGAGCTACGAGCCACGCCCCCGAGCAACCGTCACAGCCTCAGATCAACAGCTGGGCCATGAGCGACAGGCCCGCTGGCGTGATGGATCTTGCTGGAACTGTCGGTGACGTTGCGCTAAGTCGTGGCATTGCCTTTGCGGATATTTCTTGACCGTTGCGTCGTCCCTGCTATTGTGCTAGACAACTAACCTCCGACTACTTACTTACTTCGCAGTAGAAGAAAATATTACATAGTCGCTGTGCTACTAAACAAGTCTTGATCAAGGACGAATGTAAGACTCTCAACACAGGACATCCGATGCAATCCTAACCACAATACAGAAACCTCAGCCCGCAACAATGTCTTCCGCTGTATCATCTGCCGCCTCCCCCAGCGCAACAGGCGCCTCGTGCACCACGGCCGACTTTACACAATTTCCTACCCAAGATGTCTTCTGCGCCGTCGGCAGCACAACCGGCATCCCCTCCAACACATCCGACACGCTCTCGCAATGCTGCAAAGACGCTCCGGTCGAGGAGTTCAACGGTTCATGTGGATATTACTGTCTCGCCTACGACCAGACTGTTGCTGATCTCAATGCCTGTTTTATGGACAACGGTGTGAACCCCAGCCAGATCTTTTGTTCGGGAAACAACACTGCAAGCGCGACGGGCACACCAAGTGGAAGTGGAAGCGCGAGCCGGACGTCTGGTGGTAATGGACCTGATGCTACGGGCTCGCCAGGTAGCACTGGTGCTGCTGCACCCATGGGTGTAAGCAAGGCTGGCCTGGGCATGTTGGGTATGTTCGTCATCTCTGCTTTTGCAGGTGCGCTGTTGTAAAACACTACGATACTTTTTTACTTTTTATACTTAATGTCCCTCCATATTCGCTCCATCACTCACTCTGCACAATACGGTTTGTGGTTTCGTTGAAGATCGTTTTCGCTGCATATGCCTTGGATAGGGAATGTAGGGTACCTCGAACAGGATGGACATGTGCATGCCTTGGCTATTATGCAATACTCCCCCGATCGGCATCTCGGTATACCACCTTGCCTTGCAATTGGATTCTACCAACGTCCCGCATCCGGAAACAGCTAATGCATACTTCTTGCCTACCGATACAATGGTAGCACAATTTACCCCGCCTGACTTACATATGAAAAGAGCGCGCGCAGAACATATTGCTTGTTTTTCCTGACAGACAAGCCTGCGAACATATATGACACGATCCAAATTCCGTTCATTCTGAAATATTGGTGACAATAAGCTGTCCCAAGAGCTATTTTGGACCATGGCTACTCTAGCTGCCTTAGTCATTGCCTCCGTAGTAGTCAGCCTATACTATCTCCTCAAGATAGGTCGCCGAGAAGCAGGACTACCACCTGGTATCTTCTAGATCACACCATGTATCGTTCCGATGCTAAACCTTCCAGGCCCACCGACCCTTCCTCTCCTCGGTAACCTGCTGTCTATACCGACAAAGAACGCACACTTCCAATTCACAACTTGGGGAAAACAATATGGCGGCATCTATAGCCTCAAACTCTTCCACACCACAGCGATCGTGCTCAGCGACCGCCGACTAGTCCGCGAGCTCATTGACAAGCGGGGTGCAACATACAACAGCAGACCACCTTTCTTCTTTGCCGAGCACTATATTGCCAGGGATCCAGCGAATATTCCCTTGGTCGTGTTCATGCCCTCGGGAGATAAATGGCGGCTTTGCAGAAAGTTATATGCACAGTGTTTCAACGAAGCGAAAGTTGAGAAGGAGCACGTTGGCATTGTGGAAGCTGAAAGTAGGCAGATGGTACATGACTTCTGGCACGAACCAGGAGGTTTTATGATGCATACTTTGCGATTCAGTAATAGCATCATTAAGAGTTTGGTTTATGGGACCAGGACTAGACATGCAGACGAACTTCAAGAGTATACAGTCATGTTCGAGAAGTACGTCGAATTGCTTGAGGTTGGTGCAATACCGCCGGTAGACTTATTACCTTGGTTGGTATACGTACCCCAGTGGATGTGGCGGGGACGGTGGAAGAATTGGAAGAATAAAGGGGATGAGAGTGGACAGGCTGTTAATTCCGTCTTTACGAAGATGGTAGAGCCGGTGCTGGAGAGGAGAAGGCGTGGGGTACGTGCAGGTTCTGTGTATGACTTCCTGCTGGATGAGGGAGAGAAGGGTATCAATCTGACGAGAAGAGATCTGGACACTCTTGCGGGCTCATTGATTGATGCTGGGAGTGATACGACGGCATCTGCTATACGGGTTTTCATACAGGCTATGATCAAGTATCCAGGTGTTCAAGAACGAGCTCATAGGCATGTTGATGAAGTGGTAGGAAGCAAAAGATCGCCGATTTGGAGCGATGTCGCGAAGCTACCGTATGTCGTTCAAATCATCAAGGAGGTGATGCGATGGAGGCCAGTAGCGAGCATCATGCCGCATCACAGTACCGCTGGTAAATCTCAGTCCACGCGCGATATATATCGATAATGGCTAAAGTGAAACAGATGACACCATCGACGGCTACTTCATACCTAAGAACGCGACTGTCCTCATAAACGTCTGGGACCTGAATCACTCACCAGCCGACGTCAATACTTGCGAGTCCCCAATGTCAGACTTCGATCCTGATCGATACGCAACTCGCATTCACGCCTCATCTCACTACGCAGCGTCCCCCGATATCGCTTCGCGGGACCACTATACCTACGGTGCTGGACGACGTATCTGTCCTGGTATGCATCTCGCCGAGCGCAGTCTCTTCATTGCTATTGCGAAGTTGCTCTGGGCTTTTGAATTCAAAGAGAAGCCTGGAAGGCCGGTAGATGTTGACCCCGAAACAGGATTCATGGATGGTATTGTGAGGACGCCAAAGAACTTCGAATGTGAGATTCGAGTTCGGCAGGAGCGACAAGAAATCCTTGAGAATGAATTTGCGGAGGTGAGGAATGTGTTGGGGAAATACGAGGTCTAAGGACAATGTGTGGTGTGTAAGAATTTGATGCTAACACAAATTCACTGGAAGGAAATCGGATTTGCTATTGAGTTCCTCAACTTACCTTGCAGTACGCACGTACAGCTACAACGATTGCTATCATGCGCTTCGAAACTGTCGCACTTACTTCTTGGTGATAGGGTACGGCTTCCAACTCTCTTTCTCGTACAGGACAGCACGATGCACCTGTAAGCTCATCGCGCCCGTAGCGGTCAAGAGCGTGCGTGATCGTTGCCTCTAGAGATAGAATGCTGTACAGGTACACCCAGCATGCACCTTCCACGCGAGCATTTCGCCTGCCTACTCGTACCTCACCTCATCATGAACAAAACTGGAGCGCAGTACCTACGTTCTTCATCCAACTTATTACCCAACAACTCGCCAACCACGGTGAACATACCTCCCATCCATCGCTAAGAATATCACAAGATGTCGCGTATTACCGACCGTTATCAACACATACGAGCGAAAACCATCATGGCACCACGTCGCTGGTCCAAAAGATTGTATCGTTACTGGAAGCCGGGACGCCCGTCTCCAGCATCGCCAGTTCCGCCACCAACGGCTACACTACCAACGGTTCTACCATCAACATCTCCAGCATCAACGGCTCCACCGTCATATATTACAGTACTGCAGCCTCAAGCAACTCCACATCCGTTACCAATTTATGCAGAATTCATGTCACCGCCTTACACTCCAGCGTCAACAATTACAGATACAATTGCTCCATCATTGAGGCCTCCATCACTGGCGTCTTCAGCATCCGTATATCCAGTACCAGAGTATTCAACACGGAGATCTCAATCTTCTACATCTCAGGCATCAGAGCATGCATGTTCGCAGTCTCAAGTATCGTCAGCTCAACCACCACGATCACCTACATCTCGATCGCCAGCTGCTCAATCACTGGCCGCTCAATCACTAACTGTTCAGGTATCAACGTCTGAATCATCAACATCTCTATCACCAACGTCGCAGTCACCAAGGTCACAAGGATCAACATCTCGCACAACGCCATCTCAGATACCGACTTCTCCAAACACCCCTTCCGCCTCTAATGTTGAGCCACCACCGAAGCAGGAGGAATCCGGGTCTCCGAACAGCAAATCTCATCCTCCGCAGACTCTGAAGGGGAAGTTGTTTGTTATATCCGGGGCAACATCAGACGTTGGACGTGCGACAGCTAAACTGCTGGTTGCAAGCGGAGCGAAGGTCTCCCTCGGGGACACCAAGCTAATAGAACTGGCGCAGCTTTCGAGTGAACTCGGACCGAATGCGGAATTCACAATGTTGGATGTTACAAACGAGAGAGCCGTAAAGCGCTGGCTAAGATATGCCCCTTCGAACTAGGGATTGGAGTTTATCGATGGTATGTGAACATCCTGGCCGTCTTGCAAGGCACGAATCTGCTTATGGAAGTCAACGTCCGGATATGTGCTTGGGCTGACGACGACGCAGGTGCAGTGAACCTTGCAGCTATCTCGGGCAACAAGGCCCTTGTAAAAGACCACGACCATGACAACTACAAGAAGGTCTTCGCAGTCAACGTTAAGGGCATGTTCTTGTGCATGGCCGCCGAGCTTCGCAGCATGCATCCCACAAGTAAAGGCGGACAAGGTGGATCGATTGTAAATGCAGCATCGACAGCAGGACTGGTCGGCAAAGAAGGCAGCTCAATCTATTGCGCGTCAAAACATGCCGTCATTGGACTTACGAAGGCTGCTGCAAGGGAGCAGTCCAAGACTGGCATTCGGATCAATGCTATCGCACCGTAAGTGATGCCTTCAGCCTATCTCAGGCACTGGTTCTCTTCCCACCACTTGTACTGTCGGAGCAGAGCCGGTCGTTGACACTATTTTAGAAGCTTTGGTGACACACCACACCTGGACGCCTTCGATATTGAGAACGGCTTCACACCCCCCAACAACGCCGTCCTCGGCCGCGTCCCCAGCCCTGAACAAGTCGCGAAAGTGATTCAATTCCTGCTTAGCAGCGACGCAAGCTTCGTGACTGGATCAGTGTGGCAGGTCGACGGCGGCGCATTGTGTTGAGTTGAGATAAGGAAAAAGAAAGTGCGGGGCGAACTGGTGTTGCAGAAGCGATGGTGGGTACACGTTCTCTGGGGTTAGTTTGAGGTTTGATGAGTGTGTGTGGAGCATACCGCATTGGGAAGACGACGATGTTTGACACGAAACAGGCTTATGTACTTGCCGAGCTGTCATGCGCTATCCTTCTCAGCCTTACAAAAAGAAATTCATCTCGTCGTTAAGCTTGATACACATGCCGGAGACCCGTACCAAAGCTGGAAGAATAGACCGTTATCAATGTAAACACGAGCCCCGCACGTATCATATACACTATTCTCGAAAGGAGGCAGCAATTTGTTTTACTTAGATATACAGGCGTGATGGTGAACTGATCTTTAGCTATAGGTTGCTTTTTGCATATCGATAGAAGAAGCGTCGATACTCGATGATGACATGATTGCAAGATGCACGTCGGTTGCGGATTGATGGCAGACACCGGTAGTGCCACTTCTTATGAGTTAAGTGCCGCTGCAAGACCCTTCTGAATCGGTAGCGATCGGCACCCCAGCCGTGCAGCTTGCGAATACGCGGCTCGGAAGACTGAGCGCCAACCATAGAGTTCGTAGATCACTCCTATTGGCGCACCTTAGGCACGCAAAGCTAGAAGGCAAAAACAAGGAAACGAGGAGCAGATCTCGGAAGACTATTTAGTGCACTGCTGGATATTTGTGGCTTGGAAAAGTGATGCACTGTTACTTCTTCTCGCCTTAGAGAAGTTGAAGGAGGGTTGGAGGAAGGTTGGACTAGTTAACGGATATCAATGCCGCGGTCCCAATCCTGATGTTGAGCGAAAGCGTTGACCCGACCCAAAGTTTGTGAACCAAAGTTGATGCCACCTTAGACACGGAAAACGTACCCGACAGGAGACAGTGCTCGATAAAATTTTGTCAGTAGCTATGGAGATCAAGAATTAGGATATCAAAATAACGGCAGGCAAAATCAGGTGACACGTAATTTCAAATGACTCGTGATAATTCATTTCATAAGCGCGAAACTCTAATTCACAGAAACTCTCCCCTGCCAATCACAGGCGCCATTATCTCCCCATCGACTTGAAAACCTTCTCCCGGCGAGGATCTGTGGGCAAGGCTTGTATAACGACCGAATCAAGCTCGCGATCGGATCCATTTGAGCCAATCCGATCGTGGTATTTCCACTCCGACTCCGTGCTTCGAATGGAAATCGCGTCACGGGAATTGGGCGTGTGAGTCCCCCGCACGCGATCTGCGAGGCTTTGGGATGCGGTGATGAACCAGGGGAGTCTGCCAGCGGGTTTGACTGGGTTTGTTTGTTAGTGACTGGTATCGTTGATGGGTGTGTAGTAGGAAAGTGCGCCGACGAAGCAGGGAAATGTGGTGAAACTTACTAGTCCAGTATTCGCGGTGATCTTCGTCTTCGGGAACGATGTAGCCGCCGGAGATAATCTTGGTCAAGTAAATCATGCCATTAAGTGCAGTGTAGACCATCAAACCCGCAATAAGACCGTAGGCCGCGCTGTATCCGAAGGGAATGAACATCACGGTTACGAAGGCTGGAATCGCATCGCCGATGTACCGCCAATTGATCGAGGAGATTTGTCGCATCATGAGGCAGCCAACCTATGTTTTTGTTAATGATGATGTCTTGAAGATTTGATAAAGAAAGGCTTACCAGGATCAATGTGCTTCCAGTAGCCCATGGCGGTATCGAAGCAAAGATAGGAGCGAAGAACATGGATATGAGAAAACAAACACCACAGGTCATGGCTGTTAATCCAGTTTTGCCACCTTCTGCAATCCCAGCACCGCTCTCGATGAAAGCCGTCACAGGTGAACAACCAAGGAGTGCACCCATGGAGATGCAAAAAGCGTCCGTGCAATAAGCAATCGTTGATCGTGGAAAATCTCCAGTCTCCGCGTCCACCACGCCGGAGAAACGTGCCATGGAATAAAGTGTAGCCGTGCAGTCGATGATGTCGACATAGAGGAAAGTGAATAGGGCGAGGGCGAAGTGGCCAGGTGCCCGGTTGACGTCCCAGTCCAGAGCGTTCAAAGTGCGATTGATGGGATGAAAGTCGACCACCTTCTTGAAGAATTCGAAGCGGTTGTCACCAACCTCGTTGTAAGGAAAGAATGTGACTGATGTACCTCGTGGCCATGAGATGATTGACACGAGTAGGATGGCCAGGATCATGGCACTCTTGACCTTATATGTCATCAAGTAAGCTGTCAAGATGCCCCCACCCATGATACCTAGCCACATCTGCGAGAGGTATTAGCAACGTCTTGTGAGGAAGTAATATAGGACATACAGTAGGAGAGGTCATCTTGTGGCTTGTACATGAGCCAAACTCATCCTTGTACTGATCTGGACATCCCGCTATGTCAAGTGGAGTACTCTTTGAGCCCGCAATTGCACCAATACCTGCATTGGCGCTCAGTCCAACCTCGGCGAGAAACAGCCCTATACCACACGCTGCAGCAATCTTAAGTGACACTGGTATGATCTTGACGAGCCATTGTCGCATGCCGATTAAAGATAGGAATATGAAGATGAAGCCTTCAGCAAAAACCGCAGTGAGTGCCAGATTATAGGAGATGAGACCGGTGCCATGGAAGCCGACAATCTGGTAGGCGAAGTACGCGTTGAGACCCATGCCTGGTGCGAGACAAACGGGCATGTTGGTGAAGAACCCAAAGAGAAACGAGCTGAAGCCGGCTACGGCCGCGGTTGCGGTGATGAGGTTGCGGTTCAAATCTGAGCTTGGGTCAGATAATTTACTGAGCATTTAGAAGGTCCTTACCCTGCTTGCAGATGAGGTACTCGGTGTTCGTCAAACATATAGGGTCTGTTGCATCGTTGCATACGCAGTTGCCTCCAGTGTCGGCAAGAATAGTGGCCTAGATTCATTAATATGTCGAACAATACACGACTTTAGAAGCTTTACATTGACTGCTATGATGTATGCCATTGTGAAGAAGGACGTAAGTCCTGCCCGCACTTCGGTAGTGAACTTCGTATGTAGGATCTCATCTTTCTGCGAAGACAGTCAGCCATATCCAATATCACCAATACCCTCGTTAAACATACATGCCCACAGCCGCCGAGACGAAATATCCTTCCGAAAGTTGACCGGCCGATGTACACATTGAGTGACTCGATTGAGGAACGGATGGACTCCATGATTACAGACGTAAAGATGGCCACCAGTCGAAGGTTTCAATGCTCGGTAGATAAAGAGGGAGGGATCTGCGACAGATAGCCCTGCGTCGACTATATTTGTGTCACGCACGTCCGGTAGAAGCAAACATGAACGATTCGGAACGAAAAGGTATATGGCATGGATCAATCGCAAATGCGATCGGTTATATTGGCGCCATAAGCAAAGTTCCTGCAGGAATGCTATAGGAAATATGAAGGGTAGGGCGAACTGTACTAAACAAAAGACACGCGCAAGGCGGAGTGGCATGTAGCGAAAGGGATGGGCGGGGAAGTCAAGGCTATGCATAGCGCGCAGCAGGGTAAAAAGCACGCCCTAAGAAGGTTTTGGACGGAGTGACGGCATGACCACTTGGGACCGCCGCATCATGCGTAGCACAAGTCAATGGTATGGCGGCAGGAGCGTTGTCGTGCAGCTGAAGCGGAGAATCTTGCAGCGTACTCGAGGGTGGGTGGTCTAGCCTCGTGCTATAGTGGCTTGACAGAAGCGAGTCAGGGGCTGACGAGTCTAGCTTGCGCTAGTCAGGTACATCCGATGTAGATCAGACTGAACCATGACTGGTCGGAATGTTGTCTTTGGTGCCCCTCCCGCATCTGCAGCAAAATGACGGGGCGACTAAAAGCCTTAGTAGAACCTTCTGCTCACCCTTGTGGATTCCTTCTGGCAAGATTGACAACAACTATACTCATCTGGTTTACAACTTATGCCGCCATGTCGGTTCAGCGGCCTTGCTGCTTGTTCTGTCCATGGTACCGGTGTTCCCGTTTGACCCTACAGTTCCGACCAGAATGGATCAGCTGTGATCACCATTCTAGTTGGGTTCGCAGTTTGTAGCGAATGCAAGTCAAGGTTGGCGGCATCATATCGGTTATTTCCCTTAGCAGCCGTCATTGCGAATGGTAGCCAGCCACAAGCGTTTCCTGCAGAACCTTGGGCGGAAAGACCGAGAACTGGAAAAGAGAGCCCGATAAGCTGGCCAGTCGCAACTGCTGTACAGCCCAACTGTTTGCTTTTTCGGGGAAGACCCAAATTGAGATGGGGTTGCTTTGCACGCTCACACCACGCGTAGCGGTATCTCTCTCCAACAGTATGGTTGACAACCGGAAAGCTCACGGTGCGCTGAGTGAATCTGCGCTGTGCATCGAAGCACAACAGAGTAGCGCTAGTGCATGTGTTCGGATCAGGGAAGCCCTGATAGTAGTCTGAAAAGGTCAATAACGCCACGGTCCGGGTGGTGCGACAGCGTTTCGATGCCGCGGAAACAAGGGACCGTTGCGTAACTCGCTTTACAGTTGCGACACGGTCCACCCAGGTGCTTGACTACTTTTCCGTTCAGAGGTGCGACTAGTACTGAGGGTTTGATAGCCTTCAGGCGATCATTCGTTCCCACTCCTTGGATCATCGACTTATAGTGGCCCCGCTGCACCCCGCTAGACTCGCCACTGTAATCGAACATGTTCGCGACCGACTTACCACTGGACAAAGAGGCGGAATCCGTGGGTGCGCGGAGGGAACGAAAGACCAAGGAGCGATCCATTAGGTCAAACTCCATCAACACTTCGACTTCACGAACATCAATTAGTTCGACAAACTCGGGCTCTACCGATCGTGAGTTATGGTGGTCTTCGGGCCTGAAGAAGGCGAAGAGTATGAAACCAAAGATACTACGGCCATCAACTGGACGGACTACGGACTCACAGAGAACGGCAATTACTGTGACAACTGAAGTTGACTTGACCCGCACGCACAACCTCAAGGATCCCGAGCTGCAACCTGGCTGGACGTACACAAGTTCTCTTTCTGCAACACTTCCATCCGGAGATCCTATGCATCCACGTCAACATGAAGTACCAGAGCTGGAAGGTGATATGTCATCTCGAAATACGGGCTCCACCAGGTCGCGCATCTCGCGTAAGTGGTCTAACGTGAGCATGATGTGAATATGTGCTTATGACATGTGACAGATGACCGACAGCGCGAGGTGAAAACTCCTACTATGGTCGACAGCAGCGATGATGCGACGCAAGGAAGCCGCGTCAGTCCTAAGTCTTTTGTAACGAGCCGAACTCGTGCCAGTACAGCGAGCCCTGAAAATGAACATGCTATACCCATCTCAATGCCAGAAGCAAAGAGAGTTGACAGCGGGTGAGTCGTCTTCTTACAACTTCTGGGTTTATGCTTACTGTTCGTAGATGGCCCCAGCCCATGGAGACTGAAGCGACCGTCAAACTGGAAGCATTAGAACTGCGTGATAGCTTCCAGGAGGAGCAATCACATGAGGACGTGAGGCACATGGTCAAAGTGAATAGCGGCGCAAATTCGGAGGTCTCCTGCAAGCCTCTCTCGCAATGGCAGTGTCTCACTCCAAGAGGTGTACCTTCGGAGATGCAAATACAGTCGCGTCTGGCTCCTAAAAAGGTCACAGTCTCTCAAGGTACTACATCAGAGCTCAGTCGATTCCAACGCTTCATCCGCAGGATGGAAGGCGCTGGTCCAAAGGTTATCTTGGATCGACTTAAGGAAGACTGGCAATGGACTGCAGGCGGAGATGTTGATGAAGAGGTATGTAGTAATCCTGTAGATTTGTACCGAGTCCTGCTAATGGTTGAACAGTTGGTCCTCGAAAAACAGCTGTGGCTGTTGACGGGTTTCCAAATGCTGAACTTGGGTCGGGAACAGACCCTGCCGCAGCCCGAATGTAACACCGGGAGAATCCTTGAACTATATGGCAATCTCTGTAAGTGAATGTTGTGCCCTTGTGTCACGCTGCCGTGCAAGCTCTAACGGTCGACGCCAGCTGAGGTATACCAACTGTCGGCTATGCATCCGTCTCAAACAGTACACTTCCTTACCACCAAGCCCCCACGACCTGTTCAGTTGCCGGGCAATGTATCGTACTTGACGGTGCGCAAGCTCGGTGCCGTTCCACTGCCTTACCCAGAAGACTACTTCTCGCATATAAGAGCATCGACGTTGCCGTCGCTGGTCCCATCCGCCACGCTACCAGAACTGTTCAGCGAATGTCACAAGCTGCTCGCTCCTGGTGGCTTCCTAGAGATCAGGATCATGGATGCTGCCCCAGTACGCAAGACCACCGGCCCGCTGATGCGGATGTGGATTGAGGATAGGCTCTCTGTCAACTTGGAACGGGACTTCAGATGCTCGAAGCCATGTTCGCTAGTTCCAAGCTGGCTGACAGCTGCCGGATTCGAGATGCTTGTTCAAGAAGACGATCAGAGCATGACGCTACCATGTGCTATCGACCCCGATGCGGCCAATGTAAACGACGAGCTTTCAATGATTATCGGCCGAGCCTTCTGGAAAGACATCTGGGGCAGCTTTGTGGACGACGCTCAAGACGAACCGAAGTGGTGGTGGGAAGACGAAGAGATTGTGCAAGAGTGCGTAAAGCGCCAGACCTTGCTTGAGTGCAGGACAATCTTTGCATACAAGCGGTAAGAGCTAGAACTTGTGGCACAATGGTTGGTGCAATGTGTTGATAATGAAGACTCGACAAGATGGGATTGGCGTTGGCGTCGACATGGAGCGTCTGTACGATAGGATACCCGACGCGTATTGCTGTCACTACCGCCTACGATGATACCTCGTTTAGACTTGTAATTAGATAGCGATGCATTTGGTACGCCGCGCAAATGGATAGTGGGACTTGACCATCATGGATGTTTCGCTCGCCCAAATGCTAACCCCGCACTGCTTAGCGTTCTTGTCACGTGACACCGCGAATAAGGCCGTTCCTTGTCAAAGGATGGCAGGACCCATCATGCTCGTCATGATGCCACAGAGTTGCGCAAGCTGCAATCTGCCAACTGTAGCACTATGGCTTGAACTACGGTCGTCGGACTATTTCGACCCACCTCCCCGGACGTCAGATTAGGAGTCCGTGCCACAGCCTCCGTTTCAGATGCATGGTCCGCAACGCGTCGTGGCTACAAGATCAGCACTATGTCGGCACGACCGAAAGCTTTTCCGCACATCTTCTACACTCGACGGCGCTTTTGGCATGCCTCTCTCCTGAACTAATTAATCCGTCCCTCCAGCTCGTACCACATCTGCATAATCTGGCATAATTCCCACACGACACGGCCACGATCCTACACAACCTGGGAATCCTACACAATCATCGGCACACCTAGAACGGCTTCAGGGCGATCGGCATCCGAGCTACGGCCGCCGAACAATAATATCAGGAATTATGTTCAGTTCGCTAGGGACCAAGATAGCCCTCCGGAAGGCCGGATTAGGCAATGTCAAGCTCCCAAAGACCGACGACTTGTTTGGTAGTGGGAACACCAAGAAGGGGAGCACCAACGGCGCCGATGGAGGAGACACAGGCTTCGCCAACCCCTTCGCAAACGTACAATGGGGTGTACCAAAAGCCCTACAATCTTGGACAACGCCTCCACCGCCCCAGACCCCAGTGCGCAAGCCACCGAACATTGGAGATCGAGCACAAACACACACGAAGCTGCAATTTCCAACGGCCGACGGACGGCCGACTATACTGCTGTTCCTAAGGTTCTGCGGGTGTCCTTGTGAGTATTCATTTCCTCAGACGTTCTAGTCGGATGCAATGGCGGCAATGGCGGAAAGCATCTAATTCCTGCAAAAGTCTCCGAGAAACTCTTCCTCTCGCTCCGAACCCTCGCGAACCGCCATACTTCGATCCACTTCGTCGCAATCTCCCACTGCACACCCGCTGCAACCACAGAGTGGCTCAAGAAACTCGGTGGAGCCTGGAACGTAGATGTAGTAGTGGATCAAGACCGGGAACTATACGCGCTATGGGGTCTAGGCATAGCTACTTGGGGCCATGTGCTGCATCCTAGAAACGGGTACAATCAGGTCATGCTCCGGAAGAATGAGGGTGTCTGGGGACAACAGGTCGGAGAAGGAGCATGTCGATGGCAGATTGGCGGGGCATATGCAGTCGATGGGAGGGGCGTTGTTACATGGGGCTCACCGATGCAGTCAGTAGACGAGGCGATACCATTCGAACACGGCGTAATGTCACTTGGATATGGAGAGACGCATAGACTGGGACTGTGAAATTCCACAATGGATATTCAGGCGTTCGAAATTTCACAAGAGGGAATGTGGGGGTGAGAGATAAACATTCGTCAAGATGCGAAGGGTTCGCGTCTTTCTTGTATAGTACGTTCAGCGTTCAATCTTTCTGTTTCAGAGGAGCTTGCAGTCCGCAAGCTAACAGTGACAATCTGGGGCAGCCATGCTAAATTCTAACGGACTAGATACACAGCTTTCATTCTCTAAGCGAAGTCGCTTGCCTATTAAGGGAGAGTCTCATTCTCTCTTCAAGGCCTCGAGGACCGCCGCTCTGACCTCAGTCCATCTTTGCGAGTCTTCCTTTGTGGAAGCTACGCTTCGTGCTTGTTCAAGACCCCCATCCTGCTTGATCAATTCTTTCATCATTCGTTCGGAAAATATGTCTCTCCTCAACTTCTTCACATTCTCCACCGACTCGCGAAAATAGGTCAAATCCCACAGAATGCGAGGTGGCACTCCTGCAGTTAGCCAAAGCTGATTGGAAATCCACTCAAGCGTGACCTTCCGGTTGCGATTACATGGGGAACCCTTCATGTGTGGTTTGACTGATTTCCACAGCTCATCGATTAGAGCTATGCTTCTTGGATCCGGTTTGGGATACGAGAAGAGGATAGACTCGAGATTCGGCAGGACAGAGCAGATCTGTCGTAGGGAAACTTTGTCTGCCATTGACCAGGACCCGCGAATTGAGTCCTTAAGAGACTCTTCAGTTGGCAAAATCTGAATTTCGAGCTGGGTTATTCGATGTCTGATCTTCGATCTTCCGATGCTCGTGTATCGGTCTGCGTAATCTTTTGAGGTATCGCATGCGAAGTGATTTTGGGTCGATGCTAGCCCTGTAACCCTGCTGGCTTTGAGTAGGAGTACGTGCCGATCGAAGCAATGCTTGTCGACCTCGTCATGTAACTGTTTATTCGTACGCATTATCGCCAAATTCTCTGGTAACGACCTATCCGTTCTTGTATATTTTCGAGAGAACATAGGGATGTAGGCAAGATGCGGTATGAGACAATCGTATACTTGGAGACGAAGCTCATAGGGAAGCCGGAGAAACGGGAGAGGTTTGACTTGAGCATAGTTAGACTCATTCACGACTCTGAATAACGTGGTACCTACGTGTCTGCTCTGCGCTCGAGAAGATCTCTTCAAGTGAAGTGTCGCAAATGGCGTCCAACGCCAATAGTAAAGTCCTTACGTCGGAGAAAGTTGGACCGAATCTTGCAGCGGTTCTTTTAGAGCTATCTGAAGATCTGACGAGGCGAACATTGGTGAAGTGTCGTGAACCTAATACTTCAGTGTAAGCCCTGACATAAAGGTCAGGAATTTCGTCCGGTCGTTTCAGTCCCTTGGTACAGAAGTAGACTTCCTCCGAGCCTTGGATATGCGTGCAAGACGATGTTCCCTGGAGGATGACATCGAACTGTAGCTGTTTGTGACGATGAAACGGAGTTCGAGTCAACACGTTACTCAGTGCCTGTAGCTTCGCCTTGAGAAGCCCAGCCCGGGCTACCGTGTATGCGCCTGTGAACTCAGTCTTCTCTGCAGATAGGGTGTCCCTAGGTCCAGAGTCAGCATTGTTGATATCGCAATAATTGTTGATGGTCGCTGCTTACATTGCTTGTGTAAAGTCCAATGATAGCGGCGATCTGGCTGGATTGCAGATATTTTGGAGGACCTCGAGAAGAAGCGATTTTGAAGTTATATTACCTAGGTGTTTAGAAAGACCATGTTCAAGTCAGGGGCATTCACCAAGCATATAAGTTACGAAGCATCGAGCTAAGGGAGGCAGCAGCATCACACGGGCCGAATATACGAAAATATTTCCCAGTTGATACGAGGTCAAAAGTCAGACCCTACTCAGTACTTACGAGTTTAGTATAAGTAGTGGAGCTCAATACCAAGACTGGTGCCTGGCTAACATCAATAGAATCCGTCTAAGCGTGCCGGTGTAACGAAACGCTTTTTCTTCCACTCTCAGATCATTTAGAGCGCGTTTAAGCTCGAATAGGCACAGTACACACGTATTCTGCAGCGCTTGTTCTCGTAGCAAGTCGATCTCTAATACCGAAAAGTGTGTTATTGACTATGCCGTCGCTCGTTCTGCTGGTGTGACTACATAGAGTGACCGCGCATAAGATGAGCTACTCTGACAACATAAGAACTCTAAAGTGACAGGGCTTATAGCTGCACGATTCAATAGATAGCTCTGCCGGATACCCAGGTTTGCTGAGCACTCTGCTGAGACCTTACTGAGTCCTCTATTGTAGTAAATCACAACCTACTTTAGCTTGGATCTGAAGTTTGTCAAACCAGGTGCGGTTGAGCTACCAGAACAGATGTTCAAAAGTGCGAATAGGTGCGGGATTCATGCTAGCGAGGTTCAGCGGCAGATACATTTAGGGTGATTTGGTGTCCTTATTCTTTCACTATCATGCTAGAAACTCATATAACCTGACTGTATCCTAACTTTCCGTTATAGAAAATCCTCTTCATGTTACTGATGTCCTGGAAAGCGCTGTTCGTTACAACAGACAGCACTATGAGCGCGACCTCGCAAAAGTCCTGAGGATTGCTTGAGCATTACCGCTTGTGCCACTACACAGTATTTCTCTCAGATACAGCGCATTTAAAGTGATTTTTACCGAGCACCAAATGCACACTGTAGAATATTGGAGACTTCCCCGAGTATCCAAGGTCGAGTGTGGAAACTTTCTCGGAGACATTCCAACACTGCGCTGACAGTACGGAGCCGGAGACTTTAGGTACTGATGGACAGCATGCGCGATGCGATTTGTTCTACTTGAAGCACCAAATAAGGCTGCATCTTTATGGTGGACATAGTCAAGACCGTACTTGCACCGGAGATTTTCTTGGGGATTTTCTCGCCGCATAAATCTGGTGCTTATAGTACCTATATTAGGCCGGCTGGACAAGCGACGAACGAAACATAAATTTCCACACACTCTCGAACTCTCAGATCACCTTGTCTCGCGCAAGACCTACCCGCTTCTCGAAAGATACATCAAAGACGCTATATAAGGTAGACATAACAAGATGGTGCTCCGAGTTCGACCCCAGATCTTCGACATACTCATTATCGGCTCAGGCCCAGCAGGGCTGAACGCCGCGCTCACCTGTGCAAGAACACGTAGTACAGCTATTGTTTTCGACAACCAGCAGTACCGTAATGAAGGCGTTACACACATGCATACGGTAGCGTCTCGCGATCACTTCAACCCCCGAGAGTTCGGTCGCATCGCTCGCGAACAAGTCGAATCCCGTTACGATACCATTTGGTTTCAAGCTGCGACAATCACCCATGCGAAAAAGAAACAGGTGTCTGTACCTGATGAGAAGGGCTTGTATGATGGCTTCGAAGTCACAGATAGCGACGGTCACTCGTATGAGGGAAAGAAGATCATCCTAGCTACCGGTTCAAGAGATGTTTTCCCCGAAATCCAAGGCTATAAGGAAAACTGGCCAGCGCATGTATACCAATGCTTAGCTTGCGATGGCTACGAGCAACGCGGAAGTGCAGTCGGCATCCTAGGTTTCGACAGCCCAATGTACACTCACTTTGTACAAATGGCCATCCCACTCGAACCCACTTCCATCACCATATTCAGCAACGGGCCCATCAAGCAGGAAGAACCAGTACAAGAGGCTATGAAACTCGCAAAGGCCTTCGGCGCAACGCTCGACGAGCGGAAAATCGTGCGCCTGGTAAACAACGGCCCGAGCCACACAGATGGCGTAACAATTCACTTCGAAACCGGCGAACCAGTCACCCTCGGTTTTATCGTTCACAAACCTGCTACAGTCAATCGTGCGCAACACCTCATCGAGCAACTTGGTGTCGACACTGTGGAACCAGCGATGGGTGGACATATCAAGATTGCAAACGCAATGTTCAATGAGACAAGCGTCACGGGCGTATTTGCTGCTGGCGACACCATGTTAATGATGAAGCAGGTTGCGATTGCTATGGCAGAAGGACTCAAAGCAGCGGCAGGCGCGGGAATGCAGATTGCGCAAGAAAAGGCCAAGAGTCTTTCCAAGACCTTTGAGGAGAGGGAGGGCACGGTTGAAGGAGAGAAGGATAAGGCAGAAGTGGCTTCATATTAAAAAGAATCAATGGGTGGATTAAGGGAGCAAGGAAGCTGTTTTGAATGTCTACATGTATGATGTTTGAGCAGACGATAGGTTCGTGGAGGAGGGCACGACCATTGATTCCTGACACACAGTATGTAGTTTCCTTTGAGAATGTAGAACATCTTCTTCCAATATACTGCTATTACCATAGATACATATCACTGTCACCAACTTGGAAGCTGTGCTTCATACCTATCGCTGTACCAGTAGCAGGAGCGTTTGCAGCCAGCACATAATTCCTCGAATACTCTCGATATCCACGGCGCCTACCATATCTGCGACGTTCGCCACGCCACTACTCTTAAAGTTCACACCGTCACCTGTAGCTCTCCTCAACAACATAAAGTCTCCCAATTCGCTGGAACCGACCCCAGAATGTTCGTCGCACCATTCGCAGAGCTCAAAGCCCGAATCAATGGCCTGATCGTCAAGACTACTTCCATGTCCTCCTCATTATCTGAAACCTCTACATCCGCCAGAGATAATGCTCGTGACAAGCCGTCAACCCAACCGAGATATGCCATCAAGAAACCTTCCATGCGCCTGTTCCCTAAGACACAGGCTCCACTACCGACGGTCAATATTATGACAAAACACAGCCATACCTTCAACAGCTCAACAGCAACTGGACTGGACAAATTGGGACAGCTGCAGTTTGTAGAAGTATTGAAAAACTGGATCGTTGGTATGTGGTATCATCTATATATCGGAGTTCAGATCAGATGAAGAATATAGGATGGTGTCAATGGGAAGCAGATGAGCGGATGGCTAACATGGCATCGATGGACAGAAGTTGCGCCTTTCATCGCCACTACGAATTCCGACAAGAG